TTTAAGGTATTTACTGCTCTTTATTGGTAAATGTTTACATTTTCACTCTCCGTGTAACATCATGTATAGAAATAGAAGCTCAAAAGACAAAGCTTTTTGTTGATTTTCAGGCCAATAATGCACCCTCTTTGTTAAATATAGATGATACTTAATTGGTTCTTTGACATAATTTACAAATTTAAATTAGAAAATATTTTCTCACAATATCAAAGACCATAAATATCATCCCAATGAAACTTGAAGGATAGATACATTATATAATCAGATTGCAAATGAAAACTAAGTACCTATTACACAGAAACGTATCAGAATATCACTTTGTAATTGTATTCTGTGCATGTAACTCTATGTTCAATATCTAAAAGGACGACGACTTGTAAAATATTACAATCGGCAATTGTTTGAACTCCATTAACCATGAGTTGATAATGATATAGCTCTTTTCCCCACTGTAACATGGTTTGTTGAGGCTGAAAAGTTATCATTACACAAATGTGAGCACAGCAGAGCAGTTATTTTCTAAATGCGTTTAGCCAGCTAAGCTAAGCCTCACTTACAATAGGGAAATAACATCCATGAGGATGGTATTATGGTCAAATGTTCTTGTGTTGCAAGTTTCAGTAATACAGAAGAAGGATGTTTATTTTTTTTTACGGCTTCGCTTTTCAAATTTGTTCTTCTTGCGATTTTTCTTGCCAGCATCACTAACTGCTTGTTCTGCTACGATCTTCTGGTATTTCTTCTTGTTGTTTCTGGTGAGGGGAAAGAAAAACACTTATTACCTCTTTTACTTAAAACTAAAGGGATTAAAGGAATTCAGCACTATTCAAAAGTCATCTAGATGTATTGTGTGAATCATACCCAAGGACTATCTAGGTTGACTTTTACAATTTATCTAAGGATAGGGGTGTAGCTTATCGAAACAAAGTACAAGCAAGTTTCGAAGCACTAGGACTACCCTACTCTTTAGGTTTGATTAAATGAATTCAAATACACAATTTCTGGTACGGGTGCTCAACCCGGAATATTTCATCCCAACACATTTCTACATCAAAATATTACTTGTTAAAAGTTTGTTGCAAGCACAGTAAAGTAAATGGTACCTTCGGAACTCTGCATCAGCTAGGAGTTCGTCCACGACTGTCCTCTTTCTTTGCTTCTTGGGAATTCGAGAGTGATAGAAGTCTACTGGATTGTCCAGAATTGTACCAACCTGCAAAAAAGTTTCAAAGGGTAAAAAAAACACTTATTGCAATAGGAAAAACACTGCAATAATTGCATAAAGCTATTGGATTGCCGAAGCAAATCAAACTTTAATATTAATCATATTAATGAATGTAAATAAAGGGATGTCAACATATATGTCCCTACCCGCATCAGTTCCCTGTCTCTCCCAAAGGCAGTGACTCACACTAGGGTATGAATTCTATTGCAACCCAGCTCACCTGTGTCAAGCAACTAAATGTTTTTCTTATTGTAATCAAGCTTTTTTTAAAAAAAACTCTACATTGTGGTTAATGCCATTTTCTATGCAATAGGTCTGAGGTAGACCCTCACTCAATTCAATACCTTGGAAAATGTTCCCACCTCGCCTTCACTTCCTAGGTTGAGATCCTCCACCTCTGGTGCCTCTCCCCATTTGCTGTGCGTGGCGGGATTCTCACAGAATGTCCCCTTTTCATTCTAAACGTCTTCTCCCCCAGTGAGATGATATAAATACCAGGCCAGCAATGAAATCCTTTTTATACAATCTCCATTTGGAGAGGCAAACAGTCGTTATACCTGAAAATACTTTGGGAAGCCATCACGATCATTCTTCTTGTAAAAACGCTTGGAGTCAAAGGCTGCCCTCATTTTTAATGCCTGCAGATCATTCGTTAACTCTCTGGTGAGCTCAGGAGCCTTCATGTTGTACCAACCATCACCAGTTGTTTTTTCACGTTCTTCCTAGATGTGCAATAATTTAATAAAAAAACAAATTTAAAAATTCTTAACAAGTTTAGTCTCATTTTCCAAATACAGTATTGCTGCCAGGCTGCTACATGCTTTGGTACACAAAATACAACTTTTTTTTTAAATGAACGCTGCTGAAATGGAATGCAGTCGACATTATTCTTACCTTGCGCTGTTTCTTCAGTTGACGAAGTGACTGTTTGTATGGAGGAACACAATCCTTTTTTTCAAAGTCTGGTGTGAGGATGCTTTTTGCTAATAACTGAAGGACAAGAATGTTGTTACAAATGTTGTTTTCGAAATTGCTATTTGTCATTTGAATAATAACAATTACCAAGCATTCAGCCACGTGCGACGAACATTTATGATTCCCCACCATGCTCTCAACAACAACAACAATTTGGATTTATATAGCACCTCCACGCAGGATGGCGTCTCAGAACGCTTTACAGTAACGGATCCCGTGGCCGAGCCAGGGGGAGGGGGAGGAAGGTGACCAAAGGGCGGTCGAAAAGAAAGGTCTTCAGCAGAGACCTGAAAATGGGAAGAGAGGGAGCGAGACGAAGGGAGTGAGGAAGGGAATTCCAGAGCCTCGGGGCGTAGTGGCTGAAGACACGGCCACTGAGGGTGGAGCGGAGGACTCGGGGGGTGAGGAGGAGACCAGACTCGGGAGAACGAAGGCAATGGGTACTGTTTTGAGTTTTTACTCTCACTGTCCAGGCTCTAAGATGATGTAATCAAAACCTCTTAGACATACTTTTAATTAGCCAATGAGCTTAATAGCTCTCTAGAACTAAACATTTGGTACATAAAGTTATATTCCTAAATTCGGAATTTGATTCGGTCTTGTAAAGATACCAGCCGGTCTTATCCTAAAACAAACTGATATAAAGGTCCCAGAATTAATTCCTGGTGTGTGCCAAGTTACCTGAACTTAGACTGATCAGTGATACTGGAATCTCTGGATGATGAAAGTAAAAAAAATCAGTATCTTCCAGTAAATAACATTACAACCATCTTGCTTTCAGTACAGTAAATGAAACACTGACTGTGAGTCAGCTTTTCCATCAATCCTTTATGGTCCTTTTTATCTGATGTAACAGCAGTCGCATCAAATAATGCAGGATTGGAGTGGAGATCAGACTACATTGAGCAGCTTACCTCATCTGTTTTCTTTTCCTTCTTCAGTTTGTCAGAAATTTTTGAGTTGTGACCCATTTTGCCAGCATCAAAAGTAATGTACAAGCCACCAAGCTCATTCAAATCTAGTCCTGTATCAATACTAGTCGAAAGTTTTGATCTGAAACGCAATTTAAAAAAAAGTTATTGTTTTACATTAGTATATTTTGATACATTTTGTACACATATCCCACAGATTTAATTAGAAGTAGCGTTACAATACCCTGAGATGCTAATTCCACAATGCCAGAGGCAACAAGGAAGCAATAGTGTCTTAAAACTTACAAATTATACATTTTTCTGTAGCGGGTCTTTCTTCATCTTTGTGCAAGTCCACATTGATCAGCCAAGTGATATTCTAACACACGAAGATTAAGGGCCATAGTACTAGTCAGAAAATGAATGATGCTTTTCTCATACCATAAGTACAAGATAAGTCGACATGTAATTTACATGAGTAAATTATTTCTTAACATTTTAATTTTGGCGCACACGATTTCTTTTAACACCATTGATATTCCTTAAAACATGTCAAGAGATTTTTTAGTTAAAATACAAGCTCTCCTTCCCCTGCCCCCAATTTTCCCATTCATCACCTAACGCCACTGTTACAGGTTCAACAGGCACCAGATGCCCCCTCGTACCTAAAACACTGAGTGAGAAAAAGCAGGCTGTTTGACAGAGCATCAGTGAACAGTATTCGAGAGTGAGAAAGTTGGTTTAATTCCTCTCCCTCTTTTATATGGGTAAAAAAATTGGGGCAGGGGACAGCCAACAGATAAAACCCTCAAACTAATTGGAGCTTTAATTTACAATTTCTTATTACTTTCCCTGATGACTGCTTGAAAGGCAGCTTGAAGACATACTAGGATTTTAATGTATAAAGACATGAAGATCGTTCTGTGGTTTCACTGACATTTTAACACACCATAATTATATTTCCCATCTTGTAACTCACACACTCATCTCAATAGCTTTAATTAAATCTTCACTACTTACCGGCTAGATTTGCTTAGCAAAATAGCTTCATCCCCTTCTTCTTCATCATCATCACCATCAATAAAACTGTCTTCTTTTTCCTCCTGTTCTAATTCTTCATCTTGATCAATATCTTGGCTACTTTTTCCAATAATCTCTTTTCTACTTGAATCCAAGTAAAACTCTCTATCTACATCTATTCCCGGCTTGGTGTCAATCACAAACAAGCAATTGTCTTCTCCAGAAGAGCTTTGGCCTGTTGTGGTTTTCAAAGCAGAGGATTGAACATGTGCACTTTCCTCTTCCACTACTATATTGGTGTCAGTTCCAATGTCGGAGCTGTCATCACTGCTGAACAGAAGGCTAATAATAGGAACTGAGATGATAGTATCTGCGTTTTGATTTTCCGAGCCTTCATCCTTTTGCTCATCAACGACATCTCTTGGAACATCATCAGTTAATTCGATTAGTTCTACCGGGTTTTTACTTTCCGTTTCGGCACAATTCTCTGGGACAAGGCTCTCTGCAGACTGGTCATTTAATTTAACCTCATCGCTCAGTTCTGCTGGCTCCATAATACAAGGCTGAGGATCCACCAGAACAATTTCTTGCACTTCATAGTGAGATTCAGGAATCGTTTCCGACTGGAGTTCCAGCCATCTGCTCCTGGTCTTTATTTGACTGCTGGGAGTTTTCCTTACGGATTCCACCGGCTAAAAAGAAACAGGACGGTTAATCGACATCGGCGAGCTTTTATTTTTTTTTAAAAAAAAGAAAAAACAAACGAAAGGTCACACAAGACGTGACCCGTATTGGCCTAATTTTTTTCCCGGCTGCCGAAAGACGACGCAGCGAGTTCTGTGTTGATTTAATAACGGAGAGAGAGAAAGAGAGAGAGAGAGAGAGAGAGAGAATAATTAATTTTTTAGGCTCGGTGTGGGGGTGTGTGTGTGTGTGGGAAATGCTTCGCTGTCACAATTCCCACTCGATACCTTTCAATGTACTTTTTTTTAAACAACCCTCTGCGAACCATTTTTATGTCTTTAAAGCCTGTGTGTGTGTGGAGGGGAGGAGGGGGGGAGGGAGGGTGGGTTGGTGGTGGGGAGGGGTGGTTGGGGGGGGGTCTCCGCTTATATAAGTCCATGCGCAGCCTTTGCTCCAGAGATGGTAACAGGGCCTCCTCCAACGAGGGGGAAGGTTGACCCACCGGCCGACCAGCGAGAGAGGGAGGGAGGGAGGGAGGGAGTGAGGGAAGGTGGTGGGTGGGTGGTGGGGGAGATCCAAGGCCATGCGGGAGAGGAGAGTGGGGCGGGTTTTGACGCGGGTTTGGGCGGGAGTCGGAATTCCCGGGGCCGGTGAATCCCGAGGCCACAAAACCCGCGCGGAATCCCCGCCCCGAGACACGCAGTTCACACCGCCCGCCCCCGGCCCGGGGGGAGTGGGGGGGGGGGGTGAGGGGGGGGTGGAGGGGAGAGTTACCTTTCTAACCGGAGTCCCCGAGCGGCTGCGGGTCAGCACCATGGTGAGGCCAGGCGCTGCGCGCGTCACTTCCGGCTGAGCGGTACCGCACCCAAACCCGACCCCACAGCCGCACAAGTCGCTGAACTTTGGTTCCGGGCCCCCCCACAGGAGGTGTTTCCCACCCCCCCCCCCCCTACTCCACAATGTGTGGGTGTGGGTGGGAAGAGAGATTTTAAAAAAAGAGAATTTGTTTTGCTGCAGTGTGTGTATTTGATATTTTCGTACTGTGGTTAATTTCCCACCGTGATTCAACTCGGCTCTCGTCAGCCGTGCTCAGTTGGTAGCGCTCTCTCTCTCGCGCTCTGGAGTTAGAAGGTCGTGCGGGTTCAAGCCCCACGTTCGGGTCTCCAGACTTCAGGCTAACACGCCAGCGCAGCTCTGGTCTGTGCCGCATCGCCGGAGTTGCCCTCCTCAGGCTGAGGCACTAAAACCGAGGCCGTCTCTGCCCGTTCAGGCGGACGCTAAAAAGATTTTCCACGGCACTGTTCGTAAAGAGAGCGGACGTTTCTCTCGGCGTCCTGGCCAACAATCCTCCAAATAAAATGGGTCCCTCTCTCTCTCTCTCTCTCTCGCTCGCGCGTCGTGCACATTGTACGTTCTTTCATTGCGCTAAATTATGGATTGTATTCTCCCCGGTGTTTGAATGGCTGATGTTTTCAAATGCTCATCAACCCTCAAGAAGTACGCACAGAGAAACTGTGGGTAAAAGGTCCTCAGGAAACGACACCAGCACAAATGAACACGGTAAAAATCAACATTCGCTGTGTAGCCAATTAAAGCCATTTCATGGTCACCGAACTCGATTTCACTGCTACAATTAAGAAACTGAAAACATGGAATAAACAGAATCCATTGTAGGCATTTAGATCACCTTTAATGTGTAGAGCACCTCAAACGCATTACACAGCCAAGTAAACAAAATACAACATTTTATGGTAAATTTAATATTTCCAGATATGTTGCATTTAATTAGATCTACTGTACATTCAAGCTTGTAAATTACTTCAGCTTAAACATGTTAAGCACAAAGTTGATACAGTAAAAAAAACACTTGCCAACCATCAGTCAAAATCAAAGTGGTCCCAAGTTACAAATGAATTGAACTCATGTTAAGAATAATGCTCCAGAGTGGTTTCCCCATGATTTATGTTCAAGTTTTTCCTTAAGAGCAGCACATGTATGAATTAACACCAGAATGTTATTTGAATATCAGTTTACTTAGGATGGTTTATTTCGGAACCTGGCAATTTTTGGACTTTCCCTTTCCCTCCCCAACCCTTAAAATAACAAAACACATCACATGATGTACTCGGCAATTTAAACTGCCTTCCTTCGTGGGCTCAAAAAGCAAGTTGCCCTACTTTATTCTCTGTTCATCTCCCAGTCTTATTCCTCAATAACACTTACTGCACAAAAATAGAACTATTTCCTATGCCACTCTATGGGGTTACAACCAGTCATACTGAACTCGGCACATCTTCCTGGTGTGAAAGGCACTTTACTAATGTAATTTATTGCTGAAGTTACCAGCACAACATTTCTGAACTGCAGAGTTTGCAAGGGCTTCCAGTGATGGGAAATGCCCACACAATGAAAAGATTACCTTCCACGTTGTCATATGTGAGAACACACAAGATCAGGAAAGACATTTATCTCGATCAGACGCAACTAGTTGACTATTTCTTTTTTTAAAAATCAAATGATTTATTAAAAATGACTGTGTTACACACATACCACATAGTATGTTTTTAAATATTTCATTTGACTTTTAAAGTGGAGTAGGTGATTACAGATTAGAAAGTCACCAATGAGTCAGGCCTGATCCTAGTTGTGGGGTGGAAAGTGTGTGTATCTGGGGAGGGGGACGGGGGGGAGGAAGAGAAGGTTGGTACACTGCCAAGTTCTGCCATCTATCCTCCACATAACCACTGCAAGCTGCCATTCAAATACATACTTCTCTTAGGTGACCTGAACACAGTAGACTTTGGATCAGATGTGTGGGTGAAGGGCTCTACTTCCATTCCATCACCAATAGCCTCGCACATCAGCAAGCTAAGCTTTAGTTACTTCCTTAACAGCAAACTGACAAAAGTTCACAAAAGAACATAAAAGCAACTGAATTGGATACAAAATATTTACCCTGTATGTCATAATCCAAATCTCATACAGTATAAACATATTAGCATCATAACTCCAGTATTCATAAGCACTTAAGGACAATTACAGTGCCTTGAAATGGAGAATGAAACAATTTTAATGAGAAACCACTCACTATTTAGCCTCGTGACTTGCAATAGCTCTAGTTTTGCAGACATTTGTCAGCTGCTCATTTTGAATTCATGAATAAGGATCAGGATTTAGCCTGATCTCTCCAGCCAAGAATGCAGAACACTGCACGCACCAGTCTAAAGAAGATTTTCCTTTATTTATGTCAGCAACTAAACAAATAACTATAACTTGTGTTTAAAAAATGAACAAAAAAATCCCCTCTCCTGTTCTTTCTGTTAAACTGAAAATAATTTAAAAAATAAGTGCAGAATGAAGAATCTCACAGAACAATCAGTTAAATCAACAAGTAGAAACACAGATTATCATATGTAATACACAAATCTAATTTTGAGTGTATTCTTAACTCAATAACTTTTTTTTCTTTTTTTCTTTTTCTTTTTCTTGGATCTATCAGTAGACCATCAAAAAGATCAAAAGGCATTTGGTCAACAGTGCAGCTCTTGGACTTTCTCCTTTGCATATCATGCAGAAATTAGTTCATAAAAGTGCTATTTCAACTAGCTAACTTCTTGACATTACTGAGGCTAATAATGAATTCTTTTAGCATGTACAAGGTAGCCCTTGGATTTAATAATCCCTCGACTTTTAACAATTACTGAGTAGCGGAGCACCCACTTTGTCATCCATTCATAAGCCAGGTTGTCTTGAATCCCCGCAATCACAGCCTCTTGAAAATTTAACACCGGAATCAGTTCTTGAATAAGAAGAGAAATTACATATTAAATGTTTTGAGGTGCTACATCAAATGCAAGGATTATAATTATTATCATTACTACAAAGAGAGGTAAAATTTTGAATGAAGAGAAATACCAGTCTCAGTTCTTACCTTTAGGGTCGCTGTGAGTCAATAACTGTATGTCGTATTCTTTAGCAAAGGCCGTTAACTCTGGAGGCATCACACAACAAGAGGCCAAGTTGACTTGGTTGCTGCTGGGGTTTACCTGGACAGGTCAAAAAAAAATACATTTCAGACAAGAGACTGTAAATGGGTAATGGATTCCATCACAAAAGTGCACCAAATCCTGCTGTGTCATGCAGGATTTGGAGATACAGTAATAATTAATTCATAATAATTAACTGCTGGATCTGGATCCAAGCATTAAAATGTTCCCCAATTATCTATTTATTAATATTAATTCCAATTGTAAACAGATCTACTGCCAAGAGTCATTAGAGATAAGTTTACTTTAGTCTAATCATCTTTCTAAAGCAGATATACAGTAAATATACAATTTATGGGCTGACAATTAACAAGTTAACTATCACAAATAGGTATGGAATATATATTTTGCAATGCTCTGGATATTCATCCACCAGAGCAAGTATGAATAGTGAAAGCTGGTCCAATCAGTTCCAGCAGCATTTTACTCCCTCGGGACACTCCCAAACGCATTGCTGAGATGCCTATCCTGCCACTGAATGTATGTTATTTTGGATGAGGGAAGGAGGGGAGGCAAGAGAGAGGAAGTCAAATTCTATGAATGCATTACTGAATATGGCAGCCACTTGTGCCAGCAAGATCCTGCAAGTAGCCATGAATTTTTTTTTAATGAATACTTATTACCAATTTAATCTGGACAATTACTGGCCAGGACAACAGGATAAACTTCCTTCTCTTTTTAAATACTGTTAAAAAGATCTTTAACATCCCCCCAAACAGGTGTTGGGCTTGAACCCACAACCTTGCCTCTGCATCTTGAGTGTTTCAAAGAAATGGAAATTTTAAAAATGTATTTTGAAAGGGACGCAATGTTATTGTGATGTTCAAAGAATTACAGTCCCATTTTATCCAACAAACACTTCAGCCTATTCTTACCTGAGCCCACTGACAAAGCTGTTCTAACAGAACTTTATCTAAATCGGATGTCCCGATTGCAACGATTCTTTTACTTAGAACAAGACTCTCCAGCTCTTCCCAATATGGTTGTAGGTGCTCAAGAGAAAGACTGGTTCCGTCTGGGAGTGGAGGAGGAGCAATGATCACAGAATCCAGCTGTGATAATCCAAGTGCTGAACAAGCTGCAATAAATAAATAAAAAAAATGGTTTGCAGCCAACTACTTTTACAAATATTAGCTGCTATAAATACTTTTGTTTAGAGAAACAACAGCTGGTAAAAAGATCCCTTTCTTTAAAAGAAATGCAGCATTCTAGGAAACTAAGGTGTATAAAGTTGATTGTTCTTGTTATAAAAGTATTATATCCGATGGGTATCCATTGAGGACCCTCTATAATAATAATAATCCTTGCATTTGATATAGCGCGATGTCACTGTATCCAATGTTAATGCAAAAATTGTTCAAAATATAAAAGCAAAGAATATGTATGTTACCAACTTTCCAAGACTTAAGAATTTCCAAAGTATTGCAAACCCATTGCAGTTAATAAGTAGACTGAAAGACGAGGAAAACCAAGCAATCTAGATTTTATATTTCTAGCACATACCATTTTCAACAGCATCCCTGATGGATGAGGAGTCCAGTTCACAGAGAAAAAGCTTTGCTGCAGGCAAGAGAGAGAGAAATATTTAATAATAAAGACAAAAACACTTATAAAAACCAACAACCAAACCTAACGCTAAGACTCAAAACAGGAATCCAGAAGAAAGTATGAACTAATGTTTTTATTTTAAACTTATTTAGGAGTCAGTTTGAATGCATACTAACCCATTGTTTCCCTGTGCTCAGATCACTGCCTAATAATAAACCGATTTAAAATAGTGCTTGTGCAAGCAATCTGATGTAGCTAAATGCTTGACAGAATTGATCGACATTTCCAACCAATATTTCCCTAGGGAAATAGGGAAAGGTTTATGCCAATTCATGTGAGGTCCAAGGGAGAGAGGCAAAAGGATAGTCCTGTTCCATTTCCTACTAATACAGCTCCTGGCAAGTGGAATGTAACTGTGTAGTTTGCAGAGTAACTAAGGGTCCAACAGATCCACAAAAAGGGAAAAAGAAATGACATCTTCAATATTTAATCCTATCACATTACCAGACACCTTCACCTCCTCCCGCTCCTCAGGACTGATCGTTTCCGTTTCCGGAGCGATACTACATTCCAGCGTAGTAGGTGGTTCCTGAAATTTCAAAAGTAGATTAGGTCAACTGACAACCAATTGGTACTGCTCATGACTCTACCTCCTATGGCTGCTCTGTTCAAATGAGCTAACACCAGGAAATACTAGATCATTAATTCCATCTATTGCAGTCATGAGGCTCCAAGTAGTCAAACAACATTTATCATTGTGACATAATTGAGATAACAGAGATCTGGAACAAGTTATGTGGGGAGTCAGATATGAGGCTCCAGCATTCAGTGGCATAGCGACTTTCTGCTATAACACGTGTATCCTCTAAAATATCCGCATACATAAATATTAGCAGATATTAGCATGAGCTTTCTATTTTAATACTGTTATCATTTGTGATGGCTCCTAGTGGCTCTTCAAACCAATTTCTATTCCTGTTTATCTGCAAATCAGAATGTCAGAGGTCATATTTTATACCATAAAACATTAGAGCACAAAGAAGAGCAGGTGTCAGATTTCTACATCATGTAATTACTCAGTCTTTAAGACAGAAATGGAAATAGTACTTATGACATAATAAATTCCTTGATGCTGGCGAGTGAAGGAAGTTATACAAATACAAGTTGTTGTTCAGACATGGATGCAAATCACCAAATTCCTCATTCCCAATATTAGCAAACAGACCAGTCACTTCACTGTAATGCATTGGGGGTGGGGGACTAATAAAGAGACAAAATGAGCACCTGAACTCCTTTGCATAGTAGCTGATGAGAGTGATTTAGCTGTGATCTGAGATAATGCTGCCCTTTTGAATGACCCAGAGAGATCAGCAAGAACACAGTAAATTTAAACATTTTGGTAGAGTTGGTCAATAGGGAGAGAGGGTAAGGCTGTTCTATAATAATGCTAAGAACTAGCCAGGTTGAAAGGCTGATCCAGCAATCTAAACAATTGTAGTTGAATTATACCAGTATTTCAACTACTACAATAACAAAAGCATAACCAGATAAATAAGTCTGAAAACTGCAGTGTTCTCATGAAGGCTCTCATGAATAAATAAATGATGAGTGCCCAGCAAACACATACTGACAATAAAACAAAGCGGTCTCAGATATTTTAATCACAGTATAATTCTGCTGTACATTTAAAACTTTCAGAAGGACAAGATGCTTTATCAACCCTTATCAATTATAGTTGAGCAATATCTGTGATCTAGCAAAGAAACCATCTTAAATCTAAATGTTTTTCTCACTTAAAGGAGGCTCCACCTAATTTACACAATGTATTAAATAGTGCTCGAATTCCTCCAAATACAGGCGTATAAAAAAAAAGTACAGAGATATAGAACTAAGAGAACTACAAAAAATAATAGATAACATATTTGGTTTGATCCTGATGACACAGAAGTAAAATGCACAACACAATACAGATACTCAGCTACACATGGTCCCAGATCCTAACCAAGGCAGTATTGGGAGGTCTACAGCTGGTCATAATGCCCTAAATATGTGGTATATGTTTAACTGTGGATAAGAACAGAAGCAGCTTGTATTTATATGCCGGTGTCTCAGAGCACTTAACAATGGCGGAGCCCGAGGCCGAGAAGGAAGGTGACCATAGGCGTGGTCAAAGAGGAAGGTCTTCAACCTCGACTTGAGGATGGGGAAGGAGGGGTCGAGGCAAAGGGGTTGAGGGAGAGAGTTCAAAAGTTTCGGGATGTAGTGGCTGAAGGCACGACCGCCAAATTGGTGGAGAGGAGGATTTGGGTGGCATGGAGGAGGCCGGACTCAGTAGAGTGGTGGCAGCGCTGTGGGGAGATAGGAGGTTAGAGAGATAGGGGCTTGCCAAGGAATGGAGGGATTTAAACATTAGAGTGAGGATCTTGAAGTCGATCTACTCTGTGACAGGAGCCAGTAGAGTTTGGCAAGGACTAGAGTAATCGGGGTACTAAGTTTGGTGCGGGTGAGAATGCGGGCGGCGGAATTTTGAATGAGCTGAAGTTTGTGAATAGTTGGAGAAGGGGAGACCGGTGACGTGGGTGTTATGAGTAGCCCAGCCGAGAGGTGACACAGGCATGGACAAGGGTTTCAGTAGCTTTTGGGGTGAGGTATTGTTGGAGACGGGCAATGTGGTGGAGGTGGAAGAAAGCGGTGCTGGTCAGGGACCAGATGTTGAGGGGGAAGGATAACTGGGCATCGAACCTGAAGCCAAACCTGACGACAATGAATAGCCTTGGGCGTCAACACTCCCCATAGTATAGTAGCCTGCTGATTCTTGTGGCGTTTGATTTATCGCTTATAACGTGTGGAATGGTCCAAATGCCCTTCACAGGTAATTGTTGTCAAGTGTTGCCATGTGTAAAAAAAAACACACAAAACACACACTGGTGAGCTGCCCAGGTATTTTTAAGTGTACATTCTGTCAGATCTATTTTAGGTGACCTGAGGAATCGCTAGTCAAGGTGAGGAGTCGAAAGAGATTCCAGCACTTGCGAAAATCTAAGAGCTAGTAACTTCAAGAGGAGGGAATTGGGGGGGGGAAAAACTACAGCTGAATACAGTGGACATATAGCCCACATCCTACTAAAAAAAGTCTCAACATTGCGGCTCATACGGTAAAAGCACGGGCTCTGTTCCCATGAACTAAAATTGGAGTATCGCCTAAAATAGGTTTTCTTACACCAATTCGCTACGAGAGATGTGACAGAACGGACACTTACAAATACCTGGTCAGCTCACTAGTGTGTGTGTGTGGTTTTTTTTTACACACACACACAACACTTGACAACAATTGCCTGTGAAGGGCATTTGAACCATTCCACACGTTATTACATTAAGCGATAAACCAAAGGCCACAAGAATTACCTCAAGAATCTGTACTCTGAACCCCCCCCGCACCGCTCCCACCAAAAAAAAAGAGTAGGAGGACAAGAACAACGCCAGTGCACAACATCGCAATCTCCTCGGGGGGAGGGAGGGGGAAGGGGGGAAAACACCGATTAACCGCCGGATTTTTTTTCCCCCCCTCCCCCCAAAAAAGGGAAGACAACGACAGCAGCAAACTCGTCCTTACCTTCAAGAGCTCAGGGTTCACCTGCGAGCACCATTTCGCCAGAGTTTCTCGGATACAATCCTGCAACTGCACACAAGCAAAGCGAGAGAGAGAGAAGGGGGGGAGGAGGAGTGGGGAGAGGGGGGAGTGGGGAGGAGGAGAGGGAGAGGGGGGGGAGAGGGGGAGGAGTGGGGAGAGGGGGAGAGGGGGGGGAGGAGGAGTGGGGAGAGGGAGAGGGGGGGAAGGAGAGGGAGAGGGGGGGAGGAGGAGAGGGAGAGGGGGGGAGGAGTGGGGCGAGAGGGAGAGGGAGAGGGGGGAGTGGGAGGGGGAGGGGAGGGAGAGGGGGAGAGGAGGAGTGGGGGGAGAGGGGGGAGGAGGAGTGGGGGGAGAGGGCGGGGAGGAGTGGGGAGAGGGGGGTGGGAGGGGAGGAGGAGAGGGGGGGGAGGAGGAGTGGGGAGAGGGGGGTGGGAGGGGAGGAGGAGAGGGGGGGGAGGAGGAGTGGGGAGAGAGGGAGAGGGGGGAGTGGGGTGGGAGGAGAGGGAGAGGGAGAGAGTCAACCAACACACACCAGCAAACCACGCGGTCAAATCAAGACAAGTGGCCCCTTGACGTGCAGCCGCCGCCCGGGGGCCCGGGGACAGCCAGGCCCTGCCTCAGGCCCAGGCCCTGCCTCAGGCCCAGGCCCTGCCTCAGGCTCAGGCCCTGCCTCAGGCCCGGGCACCAGCCTCACTCCCGCCTTCACTTTAAACGTCGGCCCCGAGTACCTCATTCACCCGCCCGGCCGCCAGGGACGCACGCTACCTCCTCGCTGGGTGAGGTCGGGCACTTCTTCTTGAGCCGACTCCAGTTCACGATGTTGCCGGTGTGGATGGCGACCGCCGAGGCCTGAGCGAACAGCTGTTTGCCGCCGTCCATCTGCGCGTTGCTGCCCGACATCGTCGAGACTGCCCCCTCCCCCCCACCCCACCCGCCTCCAGACGGCGCGATGACGACTCCCCGGCCTCACTCTGGCAATAGCCCCGCCCACCCCGCCGCCCCCGCCGCCGCGCGTCACCGACCCGCCTCCAACGGAACAGCCACGCCCCTCTCCAACGGGTAACTGCGTCACAGCCCCGCCCCCACCCCACAGCCCCGCCCCCACCCCACAGCCCCGCCTCTAAACCCACAGCCCCTCCTCTGAACCCACAGCCCCGCCTCTGAACCCACAGCCCCTCCTCTGAACCCACAGCCCCTCCTCTAAACCCACAGCCCCTCCTCTGAACCCACAGCCCCTCCTCTAAACTCACAGCCCCTCCTCTAAACTCACAGCCCCGCCTCTAAACTCACAGCCCCGCCTCTAAACACACAGCCCCGCCTCTAAACCCATAGCCCTTCCCCCTAAACTCACAGCCCCTCCTCTAAACCCATAGCCCTTCCCCCTAAACTCACAGCCCCGCCTCTAAACCCATAGCCCTTCCCCCTAAACCCACAGCCCCGCCTCTAAACTCACAGCCCCGCCTCTAACCCACAGCCCCGCCTCTAAACTCACAGCCCCGCCTCTAAACTCACAGCCCCGCCTCTAAACCCACAGCCCCGCCTCTAAACTCACAGCCCCGCCTCTAAACTCACAGCCCCGCCTCTAAACCCACAGCCCCGCCTCTAAACCCACAGCCCCTCCTCTAAACCCACAGCCCCTCCTCTAAACCCACAGCCCCTCCTCTAAACCCACAGCCCCTCCTCTAAACTCACAGCCCCGCCTCTAAACCCACAGCCCCGCCTCTAAACCCACAGCCCCTCCTCTAAACTCACAGCCCCGCCTCTAAACCCACAGCCCCGCCTCTAAACCCACAGCCCCTCCTCTAAACACACAGCCCCTCCTCTAAACTCACAGCCCCTCCTCTAAACTCACAGCCCCTCCCCCTAAACTCACAGCCCCGCCCCTAAACTCAGCCCCTCCTCTAAACTCACAGCCCCTCCCTCCCCTAAACTCACAGCCCCGCCCCTCTAAACTCACAGCCCCTCCCCCAAACTCATAACACCTTCCCAGGCTCAGAGTCCCTCCCCTAAACTCATAGCCCCGCCCTTATACACTCAGCCCCACCCCTACATACTCACAGTCCCTCCCCTTTACACTCATAGCCCTGCCCCTATCCTGCAAATTCCAGCTACTGCCTAACTTGGGCTTCAAGCTCCACCGAAGCTGTCGGCCTGGCTCAGCGGTTGCACTCTTGCCTCAGAAGGTGGTGGGTTCGAATCCCACCTCAGGGTCTTGAACTCGCACGGTCAGAACTGACACTCGGAAGTGTCGCTGGGAGTGTTGCAATGTTGAAGGTTCCGCCCTTCAGATGAGACGTTAATATCCGATGGATATTAAAGATCCCATGGCACCATTCGAAAAGATAAGGGAGTTTTTCCGCGTCCTGACCAACAAATTCCCCAAGTAAAGTTGGTCACTCACTCCATGGGTACTTGTGGGGCATTGCTGTACGCGATAATGCTGTCAGGTTTTCCTATAACTCCATAATCACTCTATTGTCACAGTGAATCTTATGAAGCGCTTTGAGGTGTTCTTCTGACATGATAAGGTGCTATACCAAATGCAAGGTTTATTAATACCAGTAATATAGGCCCCAGTTCAGTCTCGGTGCCATGTGCTCCAGCATTTGAGGTTTCGGCAGATGAAGAAAGAAAATTAAAATTAAATTAATTTATATGCAACATAAGTTTCCAAAATTGTAAAAAAAAATCAGCACAGTCAAAATAAATAAATTCAAATTTAGTAGATTATAACATCAAGTCCCAAGAACAAAACCATATTGTTAAGTCTTTGTGACACAAATATAACCTCAGGAATGTGCACAAACTTGTTGCAATACATTAGGTCCAACATCTCTATACAATGTTTTTGGGAAACTTGGGAGTCAGTTCATGAAAATTTAATTTCCTAATTTGCCCACAAAATATACAGTCAATTCACTTTACAGTATATTCTGTGAAGTGCTTTGGGACTTCTCGAAAATGTGATAAAGCGCTACATCAAATGCAAGGATTATTATTAATATTGTTATTATTTTATTCCTGTTCTCTCTCCCTTTTTCCTCTGCCTCCTGCTGGGGCCCTCTCATACCTTGCGTATGTGGCCATTCTTGATTTGTTAGCATAGATAGTGTGAATCAGGAGGCTATTCTCCACATTGCAAGCATCACATTACAGTATTAAACAAAAAACAGAGAGAGCTGGGAAAACTCAGCATCTATGGAGAAAGGAAAGTGAATCAACGTTTCGAGTCCACGACCCTTCATCGGAACGGTTCAGATTCCAGCATCTGCAGTATTTTGTGTTCTGTCCATTACAGTATTATCCGGACTCCAGACCATTTGCTGGACTGTATTTACTGACATCACCAAGCCAAGTGGATGGAGTACAATTGGTCTGACGTTTCCTTGGCCAAGGGATCCTATCTCTGACTGCAATCCGGGGAGATCCCTACTTGAAACGACAGGTGCGGATGTTGGATGGGGTCAGTTTCAAGCCGTGTGGTCAATGTCCACCTCTCATGTTCCAATAAATCACCAACACTCACTGTCCAGTCTCACAAAGTTGAGATAGCTCCTTGAGCCAGGCAGAGGGGGTGGCTGCGGCTGGGGGGACTGTGGATGGATGAGTAGTATCTTGAACTAAAAGAAAGAGAAGACAACCAGAGGGAGAGTAACTTGTGGAAGTTAAACCGCACTGTATAGTGTGGCTGGTGCTTGATGCATCTGATCAGGAGAGAGATAGAGACAGAGAGAGAGAGAGAGTGAGAAACGATTGCAGTGTTGGGGAGGAATGCCCCAGTGAGTGAAGCTGTGAATTCTCGTAAAGACATTGAGATGCGTTCGCGATCCTTTATACTCTTGGCCGCAAATAGCATTTCTCAGCTCCACCCTGCCCTGCCCTGCCTTGCCCTTCCTTGCCTTGCCCTGCCTTGCCCTGCCCTCCTTGCCTGCCCTTGCCCTTGCCCTGCCTTGCCCTGCCCACCCTGCCCTGCCTTGCCTGCCTTGCCCTGCCCTGCCTGCCCTCCTTGCCTGCCCTTGCCCTTGCCCTGCCTTGCCCTGCCCAGCCTGCCATGCCTTGCCCTGCCTTGCCCTGCCTTGCCCTGCCCTTGCCTTGCTTGCCCTTGCCTGCCCTGCCCTGCCCCAAACTTTTCCAGATCCCAAGGGGGGGGGGGGTGGGGGGGGGAGGAATGGATTGAGTGGTGTCAGGTTCCAGTCGTGCTGTGGAGTAGAGTTTGCTGAGTCTTTGCTCTCCCCCTCCCTCCCTCCCTCTCTCCCTCCCTCCCTCTCCCTCTCTCTCTCTATCTGTCACCCAGCTCAGAGCATCAAGAGGAGAGGGAGACACAGACACACACACAGACACAGACAGACAGACAGACAGACAGACAGACACAGACAGACTGGTCTGATCGCGCAGAGGAGGTCACTGACGTCTGGAGGAACACTTAACTCCTGCAAGTTATGAGTCGAGCGACCTTCTTCGAGGTAAGACATGAAGGATCTGACAACAGGGATCTCTGATCATTTGGCTTTACCCCATAATCAGTAGGTGCGAGACATGGAAACACTCAATTGCTCGGTTGCCCGGAATATTGGGGCTATGTGTGTAGAGTACAGTGAAGGAGAGGAGAGAGGAGAGAGAGAGAGAGAGAGGTGTCAGCATTTAAAGATCTAATTGCAGCCTAATCTGTGCATCTGTGTATCGTATCGTATCGTATCGTTGCTAAAAGTAGGACGTGGTACTGAGCTTCACTTTGGGTGGTGGGACATTGGGAGGGGGTTGGGGGGGGGAGTGGGGGGGGGGGGGGGGGGTGGAGTGTGTGGTGGGGAGAAAAAAAAGTTGCAAACATTTTTTGGGTTGTTGAAATGAGTGAGTGCTAATCTATTTCGTTGTGGGGTGGAATCAGCTCAGCAACATGACCAGAGAGAGAGAGCATCTGCTCGAAGCACTTTATTTTCTGCTCACAAAACCAAGGCAATACATGGTGGTTGCAGCAGGTGCTCTGATCTGCAGTTGCTCACCCAAGCACACGATCAGCCTGTGCTGGTATAAACTAATAACCATCTCCCAGTATAGCTCTGTGTAATGGATAACCCTTCCAAGCCCTTACATTTGTTTCATTAGTGTCCTATCCCACCCACCACCCACTTGCACAGTTAAAAATCAAGGACCCCCACTGGAATTTGTGTGTGTCACTGGCCACGGGTACCGTGTCTTAATCTTCGATGAACGTAAGGGATTTTCGAGACAAAAAAAATATATCTGGGATGTCGTGTACACACACTGGGAGTTCGCAAAGGCTTGTAATTTAATCGAAGGGTCCGGATCGTATCGTAAATCAGGAGAGCAAAGCACTGCATTGAATTGTGAGTGTCAGCAAAAACTTCCAGGATTACGTTACAGCCTTTAACTCCCTTCACAGCATCTGGTTGTTTAATGTGTACCGACTGGCATTTCTGATATCAAAATAAAAAATGGTAACACACACTGTGTCAAGCTGCTGAGATGGAGCGCTGTGATAGCTGCACTATTACTCACAGTAATAATAATATTAATTCTTGTATTTGATGTAGCACCTTATCACGGCTTTCAGACATCTCAATGCGCTTCACAGAATATACTGCAAAGAGAAACAAAAACAGAAGTCACTGGGGACACTCAGTAAGTCAGGCGGCATCTACGGAGAAAGGAAAGTCCACGACCCTTCATCAGAACTTGGACATGTTGGGAGGGAGAAGCTTTTAAGGGCTAACAGAGAGGGGGAGGCAGGGCAAGGAAGACAGAGGAGAAAATGGGGTAGAGGACAGGGGATGATGGGTTAAAGAGGTGTTAATGATGCAAAACAAAGTAGGGGGGGTGGGGGAGTGATTGCAACAAATTAGGGGAATAGAAGTGTTAATACTGTAGAAAGGTTCCCAGCGACTTATGTTTTTGTTTCAGATTTCCAGCAGTATTTGCAGTATTTTGCACACTGTAAAGTGAATTGACTGTATATTCTGTGGGTGAAACGTGGCAGCCAGGTGCGCACAGCGGTGTCCCACAAACACTCGTGGATTGAAGTGACCAAATCTAATTATTTTTTACAAAATTTTGAAGAGATTATTATCCCCGGAAAAACAATCTGCCGATCAACCGCCAACCGGGTCCTACTTACAGCTAGGTAAACAGAGGCGTGTGGAGTAAGGAAACTTGCCCAACATGTTGCCTCGCCCAGGTCCTCTCGCTTGCGAAGCAAATGCTCTAACCAATATGCTACAGGACTCCACAGTAGAGTTTAATAAATGAATGTACTATGCTTGAAAAATATTATATCCATTAGAAAAATATTATATAAAGAATAACAAGCCAACCCAGGTGAAATAGGGCTCACGTAGTTCCTGGGTGTTTTCTGAACTTCCGAATACAATCGTTATCCATAACGTTTGGATATTTTGTAGAAATTTTCTTTCAGTGCCTTTGAATTCAGTTCCTTAGAATGGTAATTTTTCTGACAAACTGGAAAGAAATGTGCTTAGTAATAGTTGACATGAGAGGATCTATTGTGTAATAGAATTTTTCTAGTGAGCTATCGGGGAATAATCTAGGACTATATTTACATCTTTGGTAGTTATGATTATGACGTGATTATGTACTAAATGCGTACTATCTAAAGAATAATGGATTGACAGCAGTAGTCATATGCCACAGAAGTATTATAGCCTATTTATCATGTGTTTTTCCGCAATCATTCAATATGATAACAGTTGTGCACACAACTTTCAAGCTGGTCACACTGGTGGCTCCCTGACAAAACCACGTTGAGGAGGGTGTTTCAGTGGGACATTAATGGACATTGCTGCACTGTAAAAGCGACCAGTCCAAATCTAATCAACCTCCACCAAAACATGCTCCCTTAAACGTTTTTGCGTATTTTAAAATGTTAAAATAACATTTTAAAAAAATGTTATTAAATAAATAGTTATGTGAAAAATTGATTGTCATTAGCAGAGCTCTGTGCGTGTTCTCAGGTGATACATGCAAAGTTCTCAAACCTGGGCAAATGTAGTTTTGAAGCAGGAAAATGCTGTTTCCACTTCTATTTACATTCAATGCTGGAAGAAATTTCAAGTTGCTTCCAATGGTATAAATGAAACATTATAGAGGATTCAGATGACCTAATAAACTATGATAGCAAAGCTCATGAAATCTATAGGCATTATTCGAACATTGCAGTGAATTACTACCTTGAAATTATTCTGCAATTCTGCATGTGGTCTGCATCATTTAATGAAGTTTGGGGGCTGATTTTATTCTTATCAGGATCATTTTATTCTCCTGCTGTTAATAGTAACTGGACTTTAATGTCCAGCCTATACATTAGATGTGTGATGATGTCTATATTGATTACTGCAAGGCATAGCAGGGTCCATGGAATAACAAATCCACTAGAAAACATGCATTCATGCATTTAAAAAATGTAATCTGCAAGCAGTAGGCAATGAGTTATCAATCACTCGCTGAACAGAATTGCTGCCATATGCATTAAGCTCCAGAAATCCCTTGCCTTTTGGTGTCTGATACAGTTTCTTCAAGTTTCTCTATGTCCCCAGCAATTACCAGGGTCAAATTTAACAGATCATAATTTCTCACTGCCCTCCGTTTATGTGATATTCATTAAAAAGAATAAGGGCAGTAATGTTTTATTTCCCCTTAAAACCACTGTGATTGAAACTCTAATATACTCTGCCTCACCTCTGATATAACAATATGGCTCAAACAAAGCCATTGCAAATATAGTGTAGCCTGCCGTTTATTATTTGCTGTCCATTAGTAAATCAATATTAACACATTTTATAAGAATAAAACAGATAAGTGCATGTCTTTCTATTGAAGCACAATCTTGTACTATCATCACTTTGCCCATTAATGTGCTGATTTCACAGATTCGTATTAACCCATAAATTAGATCTGTAGCACATTGCTGTATCATAGTTTGAACTACACAGCATAAAATATCCTTCTGGATGATTCTTTAAATTTTTTTGATAACTCTAAGTAAATTTAGGAGCCACTTATTCTGAATTAAATTCCCAGATCACGGACTATGCCTGAAATGAAAATGTATTACTGGATAAAACACTCTCAACAATTACACACTTCTTTTAAAATACGGAGATCGATACTATAATTTGTCACCGCATACGGAAATAAAGCAGCTTTTGGAATGATTTAGAACCAGCTGCCGTCATCTGTTGTGTGGCACTTATATAGTGTGATGTGTAATCCATTTACTATTGTATCTGCTTATGGCAGCAACTATAAGATATCTTTATGGGGAGGGAGGGGAGGGCACTATTCACTATCCCAGTTCTGTCTGTGATGCATAGAACAGTAGCATGTCGTCAAATATGATTTGAATCTCTACTTTATACTTAAAATGTAAATGCAAGGATTATTATATTATTATTATAAATCATATTAATGCATGTAGGAGTGATAAGCAACAACACTGTGGAATGTTGCAGTGGTGTGACAGTAAGGGAATGCAATGGAGAGACAGATTTCATTATCTGTGATTCTCAGTTACCAGACAAGGCAAAATCCAAGAGCACTCCCTAGCCAGCGTCACGCACCTACTGATGATCGACACTAAGTTTCAGTGAGAACCGAAAAAGAGAAGTGGACCGTCAATCCATTGCAGTAAATTAACCAGTAAACTGATGGTAGCACAAAATAGATTGTTTCAATAGAAAGACCTGCACTTTATTCCAATAAAATTATTTCAATATTGATTCCCAAATGGCTGGCCATTATATCTAATGAGAAGGGCTTCGAGAAAGTGCCTGACCAATTTGATAAATGTGAAATGTTTATAGAAGAAAGAATTAGATAATTATTTGGGGAGGACAAGTTTGCAGGGCTTATGCGGAGAGAGCAGGGGAGTGGGACTGAATTAGATAGCTCTTTTCAAAGAGCCAGCAGAGACACGATGGGCCAAATGGCCTCCTTCTGTGCTGTCATAATTCTATGAAGGGCTGGTAACGGAGATTCGAACAAGTATTTTTCGTTTCTAGGGGGCCAATGTTGATGGGCTGAAAGCCTTTTATCAGCTGGCATGAATCCAGAGCACAAAACTGCTCGTGATTCATCACAAACTGGCATTAAACTAGCAAAGAGGTTAAGAGAATGGGTGGACGTACACTGGTGCAGTTAGAGGTTACGCTTCTGAGATTTGAGTTGGGCATATTGTTAAGTAAAAGTGAAGTAGCTTCACTTTGCTTCACCTTGGCCTGTGCAATGCTGCTAACACTGGATGTCCAAAGTGGAAACATTTAGAACACTGGTGGCCAAACTGTGGGCAGTAGGAGTCTAGGTAAGTCCATGTTTTATCGGGCGCGTGTTTTCAGTATTTTTCTTGATTGAATAGTTCTTGATTTATGGTATAAATGCCGACACAAATGTCATTAAATAGGAGTGCTAAAGGTATGAATGAGTCCTGGCACTG